ATGCTGTGAAAAGAGATTGAAATTACTAAACTATTTGAGAGGAATTTTGCCGGAAAAATTGAAATCCATCAATGAGAGATATTTAGTCTATCTTAAACCAGGAATTTCATCATCTCATTGTATGTATCCTAAATTCATAATTGCCGATCAGAATTGCTTGATTATTGTTGTCTTGTCAACTGATGCAATTTCTCTCAATGTAATTGTTTTCGTTGCATTTCTGTTATTTTGTCTATCCCGATCATCTCCAGATGTTTTCCCAAATATTTTACAATTTACATCAAACATTTTTACTATTATCATTTTTTGAGATTAACTATCTCTTTTTTCTCTTCCTAACAAAAAAATTTTTATAAGAAAATCACATGATGGATAGGAAATTTTGGAAAATCCATCAGAAATAAGATCATCAGAAAATTTTTTACCTATCAGGAATAAATCCATCAAGAAATCTTTTACGTATCAGGATTAAATCCATCAGGAAATTTTTTACCCATCAGGAATAAATCCATCAAGAATAAATCCATCAAGAAACCTGTTACCTATCAGGAATAAATCCATCAAGAAATCTTTTACGTATCAGGATTAAATCCATCAGGAAATCTTTTACCCATCAGGAATAAATCCATCAAGAATAAATCCATCAAGAAACCTGTTACCTATCAGGAATAAATCCATCAGGAAATCTTTTACCCATCAGGAATAAATCTATCAAGAAATCTGTAAATCCATTAGGAAATTTTTTACCCATCAGGAATAAATCCACCAGGAAATCTTTTTATAAATCCATTAAGAAATCTGTTACTCATCAGAAATAAATCCATTAGGAAATCTTCTACCCATCAGGAATAAATCCGTCAGGAAATCTTTTACCCATCAGGTTTTACCTTCCACAATATTTTAAGCATTTCATCACTATATAGTAACAATATTTGGCAGTTTAAAAAAGAGAGAAATTTGAAATTCAATTTTTTATTATTACAATTTTTGCGGAATTAAGAAATTATATAAATATGCTTTATTTAAACAGCAATTATCGGTATATTTGAGAACTGCTGAAGGATAACGGTAGGAAGAGAGAGAGAGAGAGAGAGAGAAAGATAATATTAATCATTGTTTTATTGTTTTAAGGGTATAAGTAGTGATTTTATTTGTTTAGCAGAGTTTTGTTTTTTTCTTCGGAAGCTTCTGTCAATAAATCTTTACGTATATATTTGAATCAATTTTATTCCATGTTGTTCATATAGTTAGTCATCATTTGTTTCATCGTAAATTCTCTTCTTCCCTCCCTCTCTCTCTCTCTCTCGCTCTGTCTTTTTCAAAGGTGTAATTTTTAAATTGAAATGTATAATACTATAAAATTATTACAACAAAAATCTATATTTGAAACATTTTTATTGCTATAAATATATTTTTTAAAAAAATATTTTAATTAATTGAAATTTTAGCAAAAATTATTTTATTATTTGAATTGATGAAATTTTTCTATTTTGAAATGTATAATACTATTGACAGCTATATAAATTGATTTATTAATGACAGCTATGTAAATTGATTCATTAGTTTATTTAATGATTTTTTAATTTTTTAATTTTTAATTTTTAATTTTCTTGCAATTATTAATTTTTTTAATTAATAAATTTTAAAAGCTTTTTTTATTCTATTTTTTCATGCTATTTATATTTTCCTAATGTAAAATAATTTAATTCATTGTGTTATGTAAATATAAATTGAACTTTTTTTTAAAATGAAATATTTGATAATTTAAAACAAAACTTTTACCTCTTTTCTTCTCAATTTCGAAATTTAAAATTTAAAATTACTGGAAGATAAAAGAATTAGTCATGCTGTGTTATTGATTAATTAAAATCCTAATGAAATTATCATAACTTCACTAAGGTTAACATTTTTATAACTTCACTAAGGTTAGCATTTTAATAACTTCACTAAGGTTAGCACCATTTCATTCTAAATCACATCAATTAGTTTTTGTATAATTAAAGATTAGTGCGTAAATCGATGATTAATCTAAAACTAAATAAAATTATTTAAATTCCTTTTTGTTTTACATCTGACTAAGCAAGAAATTTTGCAATAACTTCTGAATTTAATTTAATTTTGATATTTCAATAAATATTTTCCATTGCAAATAGTGAATTTTAATTTTTAGATTTAAAATTTCTTAAATTATCGGTAACAAATTCTAATTATAATTATTCTTCTTATTGCAAATTCTTTAGGTTCCAAAAATTTAATGATAATATATTATAAATTATAAAAATTATATATGCGTACAATACTCTATTACTTAAATAATTTATATTGAACTTATAAATTAGATAATATATTATAAATTATAAAGATTATATATCTGTACAGTAACCATAAATAACATTGAACTTATAAATAATATATTATAAATTATAAAGATTATACATCTCTACAATAATTTATTGCTTAAATAATATTGAACTTACAAATTAGGTATTATATTATAAAATATAAAAATCATATATCCATATAATATTCGATTATTTAAATAATTAATAATCAGATTAATAAATTATGGCATAAAAAATGTATCGACAAAATTTAATGAAATAATTGAATAGACAATGCAATTATTTTATAAATGAAATGGAATACTTTAAATTCGAAATGAAAACAAAAGGAAAATTATTTGTAATTTAATTAACGATTGCTTTTACCTTAAAATTATTTGATAATTTATCAAATTTCTTTCGTATTAATAAGCATTATGTAAACAGTGAATAGATGACGGCGCTTAAATCAAACGAAATAAAAACAAAGGACAATTTTCTTTTTAAAAGGATAAAAGAAAACAATCAATCTTTTAGACCGGCTTTTATTCAACGTAATGAAAGGTGGTAGGTAAAAAGGTATGAAAAGAAAACTTTACGACAATAAAATTTCTTCTTTATTATACGCTTATCAATGATTGATATTTCATAATTTCTATTTTTGAATTATTGATTTGATAATTCATTGATAGTTTTATATTTTGGTTTTTTCATAAAAACCTAAATTAAATTTATTATATCATAGTAATATTATATTGATTAGGAATTCTTGCAAATGAAATACGTGAAATTTCACGTTTTTCAAATTTAATCAACGTGTTTTCAAGATTGCCTGCAGTAGTATATCATATTACTAATACATATACATTCATATCAAATATCAATTCGTGATAACTGACGTGATAACATTATTCACGTGATAAGTGTGTTATACAAAAAATTAGCATTCCTTCAGTGTTATGCTTTTTTACAACTTTCTTTTTGAAGTAAAACAATGAATAAAAAAAGGGTTTGAAATTTAATTTAAAATTAATTATGAAAGAAAACAAAAGAAAATTTCAATAATATTTGCATAAATAATCTCTGATAACATTTATCGAAATTTCAATTTTAAATAAACCTTCTTTTTTAAGCTAATAATATCTCATTAAAAAAAATAATTATTATATTTAATAGAATTTCTCATAAGCAATCTTCATTTCAAACCTCAAATTAATGGATGGATCATTGATTGAGGTTGATGATAGCGGTATCATCTACTGGATATGTCAAATCGGGGCGACACTATGACGCCATTTTAATGTGAAATAATCGTAAAATAATGATTTCGATTTTGAATGAAAATAAATGTATAATTCGTTTCATTCTTTTTTTCATCTTTAAAATTTGAATTTTATATTTTAATTTTTCTTTAAAATTAAAATTAGTTTTATATTAGTTAGAAGAAAATTTATTTATTGAAATTTATTAATTAAAAATTTTTGTAAGTTGTTAATTAGTGTATAAAAAGCTATTAGTAAGGTGGTATAGTAATTAATCAAATATTTGCCAAAATCGGATCGTTTAACAACTAAAGTTGATTTGATGATGTTAGCACATATTGAAATTCACTTTAAAAAAGTTTTATAATATTATAAAACAAAAATAAAAGTTGAAATAATAAACACTCATTGACTCATTTCTTTCTCTGTCAATTAAATTTAAATTATAATCTATGAAAAATTAAAAAGCAGAAAAAACAATAAATATTCGCAAGGTATACGATTTCCCTTATCATTCAGCTATATTTTTTATTCTTTCAATAATACCCAATATTTTTCTATCAATAACTTTGATGATATTTAACTTGATTAAATTGATAATACGATTTCCCTTATCATTCAGCTAATTTTTATCCTTTCAATAGCAATGCCTAAAATTACTTAATATTTTTCTATCAATAATTCTGATAACATTTAACTTGATTAAATTCATTAATAATCCGGAAAAATGGATAATTTTATCATATCTGCTGAATTTTCCACGTCGAAATTGGCCAACTAAATAAAACACTATTTTATGAATAAAATAACTTTACAAAAATCAATTCGAAAAATTCAAATAATTTAAAAAATCATAATTGCATAATTCTTAGATTGCAGGAAAGATAAAAAATAATTTAGCTAAATTATTCCACAAAAAAGTATTATTATTACTATTATTATTATTATTGTTTTTGCATGCCACCATCACTTGTATACTTTGATAAATAGTAATGGCACTTGTTATCAATGATAAATTTACATTCGTTAAAATGATTAAAGAATTAAAGTGTTAGATTCACTAACAAAATGAAACCCTTTTAATTTCTATTCAACATTATCGATTTTGAATTAAATTAAATTTAAAATTAAGCTATTGTTTTTTATGAATTTTTTAATTTTCTTCAAATTATGAATAATTTCAGGTGTGTATGTTTCCATTCTATTTATGATGGAAATATACGTGGCAGAAAGATTTATATTTTAATAATCAAAATTTCTTACTATTACGCATCATTCATTTATTTGCAATGAAAAACGATTCATTGCCGCTTATCACTGATAAGATGATGATTTGTTGAAGAAAAAGGGAAGGAAAAATTGTGGAATTTACGTGTGGAAGAATATTTGCGTTATTATTGAACGGACGATTCACGTTATGACGAAATATTTTTTCTACTGCTCAAATATTTCTTTTAATCGTTTACAACAGTCATTAATATTAATTGTTTGGATTATCATCTTATCAGCAACAACAACAACAATAACTGTACAGGTTTATCAATTATTTATTACTTATATAATTTTTAAAATTAAAATTTGATTCAACCAATTATCGTCTTATTTTAGTTTCTTTAGAAAGTGAAATAAAATATTAGGACAGCTTTTTTTCCATACTATGAATAAGTATGCAAACTTTAGACTAAAGAAGATTATTTTGTTTATTTATAGCTATTAAAAATGTTTGATTATTTTTTGGTAACAACGAACGATACGTTTGATAGATTCATCATCAAATGTGTTTATAGTTATTGAGCAATTTTATTTTAATTATTCATTTCATGATTTATTTGTTTTTTTAACAAAGTTTAAAACTTTTGTTGAAATGAAATTCAATTTTAAATTTGTTGAAAATCAATAGTTTAGAACGGAAAACCGATTCAGGTAATAATGGAACCTTAGTAAATCATATGATAAAGTTAAGTGAGAAACGAATTCTGTTCAATTACTGTAAAATTGAAGTTTGAAGGTTTTTATTATCTTGCATAATTGAGAATAATGAGCCAAAAAGAGATCTATATAGAAGAGATAAACGTCATCTTGATGATAAGTGATAACAAACAACTTAACAACTTATCACACTCACAACTGATTATAACAAATAAATGAATAACTTTGCTTTTGTCATCAAAAACTTGATATTATTCATATTTTTAGATAAATGAAAAGTGAAGTTTAGTAAGAATTTGCAAGAAATCTTGAAGAATGACGAAGTAATTAAAAATATAAGATTTTAAAACCTTTCCAACAGTTTCCGAATTAAAATCCCCTTAATAGTTCTATTACTAATAAATTATATTTGATAACAATTTCTTTTTGATCTTTGGCAAATGATAAAAGGAAAGTATTAATTTCAAGGCAAATGATAAGACAGTGATAACGCTGAAGGATTTAACCAAAGCGGTCATAGAACGAAGTTGTTTGTGTGAAGAAAATGTTGAAATTATCAAAAAAAACGATGAATATTTGCTGTTGCTGTTGAAAATTTCATCAGTTCGAATTGTAAGCACATTACAAAATCTTGCACATCATATTAATGGTAAGCATATTATGATTCTTATTTATCATTATTATCATCTATTACTTGTTACTTATTAATTATTATTGTTACCATTTATGATTATTATTATTAATTATTATTATTATTCATTACTGTTATTTATTTCTATTATTTATTATTATCACTTATCATCATTTACTATTATTGCTATTGCTACTATTACTGTTACTATTATTAATGATGCGTATATACATATTGCGTATAAAAGGTTGACGATGCTAAAATTAAAGTGATCAAATATTATAATTTTACAAATATAAAAATATATGCGTTTCGCATTTATTCATCTAATACTAAGTAAATGTTTAATAGTTCTTAAATTTTAAATTATTCTTATTATTGATCGAAATTTTCAGCAGAAATTGCATATCTTATCGAATTAAGTCGATGGAAATTATTTGAAGAAATGTCGAAGTATTTCCCGCGATTGTTTAGCCAACCATCTGTAATCGATTCTGTCGGTGAACTTATTGATAATATTCGTCATCAACTCTTCATTACTACGGTTTGTTTTAATAAATTTGAGGAGCACGGTACTACAAGTGATAGTGATATTTAAATTTTGTTATTCTATTTATATTATTAACCTTCCAATCAATCAATACAACGTATTCTTCTCCATTTCAAATGGAAAAATTATTAATTTTTGTTTCGTCAAAACATTTTTGCTCAACGATTGTTATTGATAAAAGAGCAATCCATTTCAATTTATCCATTGATATTAACAATTGCCTCTAAAATTCTAAATTTTAATTTTATAATTTGTTGAACATTTCTTTTGAAGGATATTTCACCTCAACAAATAGAGGGTGAAATTGAAAAAATGGTGCAAAAATTCTTTATACAACTTATACCGCCAACATTTCTTTGCATGACAACGGGTCCATGTAAATCAGTATCACAATCATATGCCAATTGTTTACAAAATAATTCACCATTTTGGAAAGCATTCTTTGGAATGGAGCCCACTAAAATTAGTACCACTTTATGGCAAACAGTTATGAAATATCGCCTTATCGAAAGTACCATCGATAAATTACACAGGTTAACTTTTTGCTTTTTACAGCAAACATAGAAGAAAAGCAAAAAGCTTTCATTGCAAAATATCATATCTGAAAGTATTGTAAATGTAACTGTTGTAATAATAAAATTCGGAGACTATCAAATATAATGAGTGGAAATAAAGCATTGCAGAATATATTCCGGAAAATCATATCCTAATACTAAATATGACAAATGGCAGAAGAAACCCAAAAAGAATATTTAAAATATTTTTTATAAATTAAAAAAAATTGTCTTAATAAGAAATTCTTATTTGTTTTATCATCAAACTATCGCAAATTTTAATCAATAAGAATTAATTGCGATTTAAATTTTTATTAGTATTGTTTTTAGATTAGCAATGGAAGTTGAAGTTATTAATAATTCATGCATAATACGACATGCAGAAATGATAACAAGTTGTGCAGCAACTTGCATTCCATTAAAACAAGAAGTGATCGGTTACTGCAGCGAGGATTGCAAGCATGCAGTGTATGATTGTTTGCGTGAAGGTGCAAGTGATTGGAATGGTTTCATATCTATTTTACAAAAATTAACTAATAATTTCGATAAAGGTTTTATTGAGGTATATTTGAAATGAATTCAAACTTTTCATCAAAGAATTTATTTATTAATCGATTGATTTGTTTCGTTTTTTAATTTAATTACTTATTATGCTAATTTACTTCCATATCAACTCACTTAGCTAATTTATTATTTGCTTGTCTATTTCGTCTTGTTAATTAATTATCCATTTTAAATACCTTTTAAAATTTTAAAAAGGATAGAATAGTATTCAGAATCATAAATTCAATTCGTAATAAAAAAGCTTTAAAAAACTATGAATAGCATAATTTTAACGGTTAAGACTAATTCAATTTAGATGTTTTCCCAAGAAGGTTAAGATTATCATTCAGATTATCGTGATACTGATTACAATTAGGATTTTATCATCATGATACTGATTATAATTAGAAATTTTTACCATTTTAAGGTATTTTTTCTACTCCAATATTTTAGGATAATTTTTTCCCAACTTTTGCTCCACTCATTTAGTGTTTAATTTGAATTATTAAATTTCTCTTACAAAATAGTACAGGTAAACATTTTTTGATATTAAGATTACCCAAACATTCAAATTAACTCAAATATTCAAATTCTAATCGAACATTCAAATTAAGTTAAATAAGACAAGGTGTCAATTAAAATAATTAATGCAAAGGGTATAAATCATTTGAAGAGATATTCATAAGTATGACAATTTGAAAATTGCTTTTTTCAAGAAAAATTATGCATGTAATTTTAATCCTAAATTAAATACCTTTTAAAAATACTTTTTTAAATTTATGATTTTTGATTATCATGAAAATTGATTGATCTTTATTATGATCACCTAATTATAATAATTCTTAAGGTAAATCTTTTTTTCCAGCTTGAAAAAGGTATTATTCGATCCATTTCATATGCAATAGAAATGCAAGCTCCAATGATCGCTAAAACGGTACTAAGAAAATGTGGACGAATCAGTTTTGCTAAAACATCGGATAACATTCGACATGTTGATTATCAGAAGCCGGATCCGATACAACAACGAGCAGTGCTTATGATTCGACAGGTAAAAAAAGAGGAAATTATAGACAATAAAGCTTAACTTAAAATAATTATAATTTAACTTATATAATCTTTAAAATATTTTCGTAAAATTAATCGAAATGATTTTTCAAATTTTCAAAACATTCACAACTTTTAACTTTTTTAGTAATCTAATATTATAATAGAAGTGTTGCAATATTTATTTTGTAACTTTTAAATTCAATTAATAATTTCATAGCTTTGTTTTAACATTTAATAATTAAACAATTCTTAAAACAAAAATAGAAGTTTCTTTAATTTTTAAAATTTAGAAATAAAAAAACGAAAATTTCATATTTTATTCTTTCTTCAAAAATAGCTTATTATCGTTGTATCGTTGTATCGTTGTATCGTTGTATCGTTGTATCGTCGTATCTCATATCGTTGTATAGGATTTTGACGATGAAGAAGAAATGATGAAAGTAACTAACACAAATAAATGTTATGTAAATAGAATAAGGGAAAAAGAAGAGATAATATAAGTATTACACAACAAAGTACTTTAATTTTTAAATTCATTTTGAAATAAAACATCAAATAATTTTTTATTAATTATAACTTTACTATAATAATTTATATTAAAAATTTTCGAAATGATTTTTGTTTATTTCAATAGTTTGTAAAACAAAGAAAATTATTTTTACAATAGTAATTTTTTAATTACTAAATTACTTCAAAGCTTATCATAATAATTTGCATTTGAAATTTTAGAAATAATTGAAAATTTTGTGATTAATTCAAAAATTTGCAAAGTAAATAATTTAATTAAGTAATTAAGTAGAAAACAATGAAATAATTTTCAATTTGTTTTTCTATTCTCTTTAAGTTTTCAATAAATTTTATTTGTTAAATAAAAAAACATCAAATATAATTAATTGCATAATTGTAGTTGTAATAGTATTAGAAGAAGAATAGTTAAAAAAATATTATATATCGTTTGATATATAGCAGATTATAATTGTGAATAGTTTTTTGACAAACTTAAAACAAACAATAAAGATTAGCGAATATATAATGTTGACAGTCTGTATGAGAGCAAACATAGTATACTCTTAGAACGATTTATAATTTACTTCAAACACTAATTTTAAACAAATTTCATTGCTAATAATAATAATTGTTGACAGATTATGATTTCAACTAAAATAGGCTTTAAAAAATAAATTGAAGTGAAATTGAAATTAAATGATTAAATTATTGATTGATGAAATTCATAAAATGACCAATCCTAGCTATGCTTTATATTAAATGACCAGCTAATGCAAACAAAAGTTCGTAAAAATTCATTAGTAATACTTAATATATAGCTGCACTTTAAATAATTTAATTTAATTACAACAATCGATTTTCTTTAATTCAAATTGAAGGTAATAATTATATATTTATTTTTGAATTTCAATTTTGAAATTAATTTTTCATTTTAATTGCTCGTTTGTTTTTTCTTTTGTCTTTATCAAATTATTCAATCTGTTCATAAGTATCGTTTTTAAACAAACTTTTTCAAATCAAATATAACAAATTTGTACTTTCTTTCTTTTCCTCTATCTCTTCCCTTATTCATTACAACCAATGGTTTCATTAAGTTTCTACAAAATGAAAAAATTCTCTTTTCATGGATAATTTATCAGAATGATTTATCAAAATGATAAGTAAAAGATCATAGCTCATATCTATCAATGCTAAACAATAATTCATTAATTTTCTTCTTCATTTTTTCCATAAATATTTCCAATTTTTGTTGGTACATATATTTTTTAAATTTCTAAAAAGCATACTGTAAAGGAGAGAATGTGATAACAAAAAAAAAGTTTTATAAATTAAGTTTAAATGATAATTAATCATTGAGAAGTTTTAAATGATAAAATTGATAAGGAATGTTGTAAGTTTTTGCTAAAAACAAGTATCAATGAAAAAGATAGGAAAAAAGTCATTGCTAATTCATTAATTAAACTATTGCTAATTCATTAATTAATCTTTTATGATACTACGATAATATTCAAATATTATATTCGAAGCATTATGATATGATAACGCATTATTTATCTCTTCGACTTAAAGAAAAGAAAGAAATGTATTAGTTAAAAAAAACTATCTTAAAATTTAACAAGATAAATAAAACTTTTTTTGTTAACAGTTTTAGCTATTGCTAATTCATTAATTAATCTTTTATGACACTCAAACATGATACTGTATCACTCAAATATGATACCATATCACTGAAATATCATATGGTATTTCAAATGTGATACTGAATATTAAGTAAAATGATTTAATATCAGAATAATAAGAATGTCACTGTGCCTATAATTGAATATATCATTGGTACCACGAATATATTCTTTAAATGTATTCAAATTTGCCCAACATTATATAAGTTCATTACTTTCTCTTTTTCTCTGTCCATTTTAGAAGGTAAGTTTAAGTAATTTTGTTAACTTATGAATTTACATGTTGTAGGAACTATGAGCAAATTGATCGTTAAAATCATTTAACTCATTAATTTTAAATTATTATTGTATTTCATTTATGCAACTGTCATGAAATATTTTCATATCAAAAAGGAAAAATTTATTTAGCTGAGATTAAAGCATATCTCAAAAATATTGCAACAAATTTGAAGTCAAATTTAAAAACAAAAAAATAAGTAATTAAATTAATAATTCTTTCATTTTCATTGAATGAAAATGTGACAAATGAATTGAACTTAGCTTTTAATATCAAATATTTAAATTAATAATAATATTGGCGTTTCATTAATATTATATTATATATTAGGTATCTAAATTAAATTAAAACAATAACAACAAATAATATTGATTAATGCTTTTTTCTTACTTTTTAGTTTATAACATATGTTGGTTGGTGGCGAAAACTTATCAACAATCTTTGTAGTAATCCATCACAAATATCGAAATGTTGGAACAGTACAGTTATTATTGATGATAAGTAAGTCTTCCAATTCTTTTCTCTCATTTTAATTCGTTTATTTTTAATTCATTAAAAATGAATTGAATTGCATTTTTTAGAAATATTTAACTGACAGACTGAATAAATAAAATTATTTAAGTAATAATAATCAAATATGAAATTCTAAATTTGCATAATTAAGATGAATAAAAGTTTTTAGTAAATGTCCAGTAACCAATCGAAATGAATTTCACATTGATAACTTGTTGCTTTCATAGAAGATAAAATAATTTTTAAAACTTACTATCTCTCCTTCAATAATCAATGAATGAAAAAATTATATAATATAAAATAAAAACTCAAATGGTTTGTAGTAGAATGAGATGAATAAATAACTTTGATTGTGGTACTATACTCAGTAAAACTGAGTGCATTCTACTACAAATGCACTCAGTTATTTCATCCTTTGGGAAATTAATTTCCTTCTGAGAGTACATTTCTTCGAGAGTTTAATTTTTGGAAGAGCCTGCTATGTTATATTTTTGGTACAATGTGGTTTTTTTTTGTTGATGAAGTCGAAATTTAATTCAACGTCTATAACTTTGATTGTGGTACTATATCCGTTATGATTATGGTACTATTTCCGTTATGGTTATGGTACTATTTCCGTTTTCCGTTACTTGTTATTGTACTATTTCTGATCTTCAAGAAATCTTCTCGTTTTATTATTGATAACAAGTATTTCTATTTTTTTCCGTTGGTACCACATCGTATCAGCTGTTTATTTGTTCAATTTTACATTTGATGAATCTAATTTTAAATTTCAAAAAAATCAGATGCTGAGCGCTATTTTCTATCTTACATTTGGCACTAAAAATTGACCCTAATAAATCTTTCATTTTTAAAAGTTATGCCAATATTGACGTAATTATGAATGGAATACATAAGACAAAGGGTAATGATGATATTGAGAGTAATTTTTGCCGCAAAATTATCTTCCTTAATTAATCCCTAAGAGAAGTTCAATTAAGAAAATTAATTTGCTTACTTATTTAAGAAACATTTGGGAATAGTTAAACGATATGAATTATTTGATTAAAAAATTTGAAGAAAAAAGACAAAATTGAAGAGATAGAATGCGGAAAAGTATGTTGAAAAAAGCGCCTCGTCCAAAACAACGGAGAAAGAGAGAATGGTAAAAGGACAAATTTTGCGTTGAAATTTTGTTTTTAACAAAATGAAATCGAAAATTAGTTACAATTCGAAGACTAAAAATTCTTTCTCATAAATTCATTTTATTTACAGCTTGTTTTTTTGCTTAATTACTAAATGTTTTGTCTTCAATTTTTTCTTTAAATAATTAAAATTTTAAATTGGAAAAATGAAATTCAAAATTTAAAGTAATTTTTCGAACAAATTGTTGACAAAATTTATTGATAAATAAGGAAAAGAAAAATGCAACAATTTTTTCTTTTTATAAATTTATAAAGTGATTATAAATACGTTATCATAGTGATATCGATGATACGATAGTATTACGTAAAATGATGAATAATTAAGATTTCTCGTTGTCGGTATTGTTGACATATAATCATGATTTCTCGTTATCGTTATTGCTGTACTCAAAGGAGGATAATAATACAATAAAATAATAAGTAGTCACAAAAATAATCGAAGAAAATAAGAAAAAGGTAATCAATGGTGGGAAAAGTTTTTATCATATAACTGTTTAAAAAATTCACAAAAATTATGTTTAATTATTTGAAATTGCATGAAGAAAAGTATGCACAGGTGTACTATCTTTTCATAATACGGTATGCATGAATGAACGATTTATTGAAGAAAGGACCACCTGCTATGTTTTAATGAATTACTAGAAGGAACGGACAAA